GACGGAAGGACTCCCACACACTCTCTTCAAACCAGGGTTGCGATCACCCAGCCTATCAGAGCATCTTTCCCAATCCTTATCTGTGTCTTATCAATTGTCCTCCCGAATAAGCGTTAGCATCTCAGTAGGAGGGAGGAGAAGAAAGTCGAAGAGTGGCCAGAGATAGGAATGGGAAGACTACAGCCAGTAGAGGAATGAAATGATATTTTTTGAATAATATGGATCATATATAGCAGCATCCTGTGTGACATTTCATGTAGGTGTGTGGGACCATGAAAGGTAGCCTAGCTCCTGGTTGAGCTAAGGCTAGAAACCTCAGTAACCCTGAAGGGCCTGAGCCTCAGACTTCCTCATCCCTGGAGCAGTGTCCTGGTGTCTGGGGCTTCCCTACAGCCCAACACCTGCCTGGCGAGAGCGACAAACTTCCTCCTGGAGCAGTCCAGCCCTGTGGCTGAGCAGATGCGGGTCCCCTTAACCCTACATATGTGTCTAATACATATTGTCCACCTTCACCCATAACACTCTCCCCTCACCCTCTCATTCCCGCTGCCACCTGGGAAATGGTATTTCTGATGAACAATAAAGATAAAGACTCTGGGAAGGATTGGTGGGTGGCACCATGTCAGGTGCTCTTAAGAGGCTGCCACTGCACCACTAGACAGACCCAGTCACTCGGGGTATGGTGCTGACAGGTCTTGGCCAGTTGAGCCAAGTGGTATTTAATAAGACAATCATTGTTAATTCAAATACCAACAGCCTATTAACTCAGTCCCTTAGGATATTTGCAGAGCCACACACAGGGTGGTGGCAGGAAGTGACAAATCCCACCGGCATGCAGGTTGATAGGGGTAACCTTGATCTACTGTTCTGATTCAAATAATCACAGTCCAGTGGCCCCACCCTACAGAAAAAGATGACAAGGAGAACACCCCCCGCCCCCAAGGGCAGCTGCAGCTTCTTGCTGACCAAGTTAATTTTCAGAGAACAAGTTAAGCAAAGGCAGTATCTCATCCGTCCCCTAGATTTGATAAGAGGGTCTGTAAAAAGATAGAATGGACAAAGTGCTGGGCCGTCATCACTCCTGCTTGATAACAAGTGGATGACGCAAGAGATTGTGAAAGGGGCCTTCCTGCTGTGTTCGCTGCAGACTCGGCTCTCACACTACCTGACTGGACCAATGGTCAAGCATCAGCAGATCTGAAGTGCAAGCAGCAAGCTCGACTGCCAAGACTCTCCTGGGCAGAGGCAAACCTCCAAGGTCACGGCTTTTCTAGACTTCAGAGCAGATCTATCATTTACTGGATGGGTGGCCTCAGGGACAGTTACTCAACATCACTGCAAATCTGCTGCTTTCCGCTGTGCCTGGCAAAATGCTCTCATGCCCAGTGCTTTATTGGGCATGTGGCAAGTCCTAAGGGCATGGCTCAGTCAGTAGAGTCTTTGATGCACAAGCCAGAGGACCTAAGAGAGATTCTCAAATCCCAGGTCTGAGAAAACAAAAGGCAGGTGTTGTGTCACGTGTTTACAATGTCAACTCTGGGTGGGTGGGGAACAGTATACTGCTGGACCTCACTCGGTCTCCTTGTTGAGATCTGGGCTGATGAGAACCTCTGATCTCAAAAAGAAGGTGGGGAAAACCTGAAAAAGAACCCAAGAGGATGTCCTCAGAATGCAGGTGCATGTGTACACATGTACACACACACGCCTGCACAAACTTCCCTGCACACACACCTGCATACATGTTTACCTGCACACTTGCACACATGTTTACCTGCACACACACCTGCATACATGTTTACCTGCACACA